GGTCACGAAAAAAGACAAAAAGGAAAAAAAAAAAAAAAAGATCCCAACTCTGTCCTGGGTGGCGCTGGGGAATTCTTGCTTTTGGGCTTCCCATGTCTGGACTCCAGTCATTCCCTACTCTCCTTTTTAAGCACAGCTTTTTGTTAAAGTTGGCTCTGGCGGGAGCAATCCACCCAACGAGCTTAAGGAGGTGTTTTCCAAAGTGCACTGGAGGCTTGTGAAATGCTCCACTTGAAAAGGGTTCCTGAGTGAGAGAGACTGGGAAACACTGCACGCTTGGCGATTTATAGCACACGGTGGCTCTGAGGCGGCTGCGGGAAGGAGCCTGTTTAACCTGTTTAAGCACTCATTAGCTCCCCAGAGAACTCACCACTCCAAGAACACATTTTGGGAAACACTGATCTCCAGGATTCAGTCCAAATTGCTCAGCACGAATCCAGGACGGTTTGTGATTCGCCCCTCCTCCCCTCCCACCTCCTCTACCCTGCTGCTCCGGGTGATCTCCACTTTCCCATAGCCAGACCAGCGATTTGCTGCTTCCCAAGGGCCCATGCTCCATGGGGTCTTTGCCTGTGCCGTGCTGGGTGCCTGACATGCCCTCTCTTTCTTGCTTTGCGCTGGATGCCTCCTCATTCTTGAGACGCAGGGTAGGAGGCCTCCTTTGGGAAGCCAGATTTGATGCCACCATACTACACCATTACCCCCACCCCAGCACCTGTACAGTCCACTATTAAGTTGCACATCACCGTGTATTATAACTATTGTTTAATCATTTTCAATCAGTAGTCGGAATCTTAAGAGCTTGGATTGTGTCTCATTCATTTTCAAATTCCTAGCACCCCACTAACCTACCGCATGGTAGCCAATCAATAATTTTATAGTGAATGAATGATGTATTACAAATCAAGCTAGAGTGAACATCTTTGTACATATAGCTTTTTGGTTAATTTGGATGACTCCCAGGAATATGGGGAAAAGGGTATAAACAGTTTTATGTTTTTCAGGGCATACTGCCCAATTGCTTTTCTGAAGGGCTGCTGAATTGCTTCCAGCAATAAAGGAGAGTACCTATTTCATCAACCATTTGCCAACCCTGGGTTTTATAATTTTAATCAATTTTTCTTAATTTTATAGGAAAAATATTGCTGTAGTATAGTTTTAATTTGCATTGCCTTGATGACTAGTGATCTACTCCACCCCCTTGCAAGGGCTGCTTCCTGTGAGCGGAGCATGGTGGAAGGAGCACTGGAGTAGGAGTTAGGGGGTCTAGTCCTGGCCACACATGACCATGGGGTGGTGACAGACTTCCTGGGGCAAAGCTCCCTCTTCTGACAAATAAGGTAACACTGCCTGCCCTATCTCCCACCCCAATGGTCTGAGCAGATTGGTGGAAAGGCCCTGGAGCTCCTGGAAGGTCTGAGTGGCAGAACTCTGGATCCAGCCAGAGCATCACCTGCCTGGGGCTTAGTGCTTATCCCTTGCTCTCTGATGGTGATAGAGTCTGATAGATTCCTTGCATGTCCACGGCTAGAGCCTCCCTGGGGCAGGTTGTGGTCCTCGGAGAGTTCCAATCTGAACGTGCTCACCTCAGCTCAGGGGGTGCTCCATAGGGCTTGGCAGGTGTGGCCCCGGGGAGAACCGTAGGCTGGATGGACCTGGAGACCCCAGCTCCTCACCTTCCCCTCCACCCTCTTTGGGAATCTGCTTCTCCTTCATCCTGGCTTTCCTGGAAGAGGGATGTGTCTGTGAGTCTTCTGGCTTTCCTTCATTTGCCCACCTTGCTTTAGCAACATCCCCCCCACCTTATTTGGAGGGGCTGGGCGCTGTGTGGGGAGAAGCCAGGCCCCAGCACACAGTAGCCCAGTGTCTGAGGCCCCAGGCCTCCAGGCTGCTCTTTACAATACCTTTGTTGTGTGTTTTCCTCCCATGGGCGGGTGGGGCACGCGTGTGGGTCTGGGTGATTTTTGTTTGAAAGCCACCCCCTCCCCACTCTCCCCCCAGCGCTGAGCTCATTGCCTGGGCTGATGGGGCTGCTGGAAGGAGTCGGCCGGCTCGGGGGCCAGCATGGGGGGTGCTGCCAACACCAATACAGCGTGCACAGCCGCTACAATGTGCAATTGTGATCTTTGTGTAAACGCGGCCGGTCTGGGGCCCGCACGCTTATAAAAATAAAGCGTTGAGAAGCATGGGGGGCGGGAACAAAAGGGGCTTTTTCGCCGGCTCTCTAATATGGTTTTATTTATCGGAACGCGCCCTCCTTCCCTTACTGGAACCGGGAGAAGTTCTCTGCCGAGCTTGGAGCTGATGGTATCACAGCCAGACGGTTTCATTAAATGCACAGACGCCGCTGGGCCCTGCCAGGGGCAAGAGAGAAAGGGCTTGGGGCCAGCCCTGCCAGGGCTGTTGTGTGGAAGGGAGAGCCCCATGCCAGGTGCGGGTGGTGAGACGTGGTGGGCATTTCTCCCCTGCCCTCTCCCCTGCCGAGGGCCTCCCATTGCCTTCTTCTACTCTTGAATCAGGTTCAGAGCCAGTTTCCTTCAGGCAGCCCTCCATGATTGACTCCAGTGTGCTTCTGTGCTCGAAGGCCGATGGGCTGTTCCCAGTCTGGTGACCACCTCCTCGCAGCCACCTATACACCTCCTAATGTAGCTTCCTATTAGCCAAACCCAGCATTGTTCAGCCAGTGGGTGCCCATAGCTTCTGTTCCTTAACTCAGAAGTCCTCCACCCTAGTTAGCTCTTCAGGCAATAGCCACAATCTCGGACCCTGATGTCTTCATTCCCTAATGGGTCCTGTCATTGCCCACCCTTCCCACCTCCTGTGCAGTGGCCATGATGTGCCACTTAGTTTCCTTGTGGCGAGGGAGCCTGTTCTGCTCCCCTTCCCTTTGTGGAAAAGTGGTGTCTCCCTATCCCAGCCCCAGGGTTGTGTTCGGATAGCCTGCAGCCTTCTGGGGCCACCGTGGCTGTCTTGAGGTCATGTGGGGAGTTAGTGGCCATGCTGAGGCTGGCCTGTGGGGCTCAGCAGGTGCAGGGCACTGCAGGATGGAACAGGATGCCAAGGGTATAGGGCATGTGTTGGGGCACTGGGCTCAACCTCCTTGACAACCAGCATCCAGCTGCCAACCTCCTGCATCCCCAGACTTTCCTGTCCAAGTGCCCCCAGCATCTGTCATGTTGAGTCTTACAAAATGCCAACTAACTGGACCCTTCCTCCAAGCAGTTGTCCTATTGGGAGAAGCTGGAGCAGCCCCTCCTCCAAGCCCTCTGCTCCTCTCCCAAATTACATGCACTTAGTCCTACAGGACCTTCTCCTGCATTGGTTTCCAAAGCGTGGCCCTGGAAGGCAGCATCTGCATCACCTGGGAACATGATAGAAATGTAAATCCTTAGGTTCCACCCCAGACCTGCTGAAACAGAGTACCTGAGGGTGGGGCCCAGCAGTCTGTGTAAGCCTTCCAGGTGATTCTGCCGCACACTCACGTTTGAGAACCACTGCCTCAGAGTCTCCTCTAGTGACACTAACTTGCCTTTGGGACTGAGCAGAGGGAATGACACATGGCTGGGTCCCAGGCTGGTGCAGCTGGGGCTGGCAGGCTGGAAAGGAGTATGGGGGCAGCAATGAGCTGCAGGAGCCATGGGTTCCTCTCAAACCAACCACTGCTAAACAACTCTTGAGTCCAGGTGCTCTCTATAGTGCCCCATGCCTAGCTAAGCCACCACCATCCCTGCCTGGACCACTGCAGTAGCCTCATGACTGTTCTCCCTGCACCTCTTCTGCCCCCTCCAGCCAGCTCTCCATGGGGCAGCTAGAGTGAGCTTGCTGAAATGCAGACCTAGTCACATCAGTCTGAAGGCATCCCAGAGCTCATGGAGATCAACATTTCTACTCTTCCTTCCTCAGGGAAGCCAGAACACTCCCATACACACTCTACTGCACTTTATTTCCATTCTTCAAAGCTCTGATCCAAATTATAATTTTACATTGGTTTGTATAGATATTTTACACTTTGCTCAAATTGCACTCTCAGCTCCTAGCACCTTGCCCCTAGAAGGCATTCAATAAATGCTTGTTGGATAAATTAAGGAACAAATGAATGAATGACTAGACCATTTAGGCACTCACTTTCTCTAGCTGGACTTTGCCCCAGTGGCCAGTCCAGGAAGCAGTGCAGAGGTGTTCTATGGATCTGTGCCCACTCACCTGGATCCAGGCTCCAAGTGGCCTGCAGGCTGGCCTCGTGGAAGAGCCAAGAGAGCCCCCTGAGGAAAATGGGTTCCAGCCTGAATGCTGTAGCTCAGGGGCAGCCCACAGCCCTGCTCCAGCTTTGGGGCCCTGCAAGACTCGTGAGTCAGCAAGTTTCATGGTGCCTGCTGAGTCCTGTCTCCCTTCCCTGCCCCGGCCCACACAGATCCGTACGCAATCGTCTCCTTCCTGCACCAGAGCCAGAAGACAGTGGTGGTGAAGAACACCCTGAACCCCACCTGGGACCAGACACTCATCTTTTATGAGATTGAGATCTTTGGGGAGCCAGCCAGCATCGCCGAGCAGCCGCCCAGCATCGTGGTGGAGCTGTATGACCACGACACCTATGTGAGTCCGCCCACCTCCTTCCCTTTGTCCCCTCACTGCCCACCCCCTGTAGGGGCCCAGGGAGAGAGATGCTGAAGGTTGGATCTCTGTGGACACTTGGCTCCCCAACCAGATGGGGCCCCCCCAGGGCTGGGACTGTTGGCCTCTCCCCTGGCCCCACAGACTATAATTAAAACTGTTTTAGAGTAATTAAAAATGGATTGCTAGCACATGTGCTGTGCCCTGTGGCAGAGATTGCTAATCAACACGGCAGAGAGAGGGCACAGATCTGGAAAGGTGCTTGACTGTGGGTCAGGAGCCTGGGTTTTCTCTGCCTCTAACTTGCTTATGTGATGCCAGGCTGGTCCCATCTCCCTGTCAGCTGTGTTGATTCCACAAACATCTATCAAGCACTTGTTTTACTGAACTGCGCGGCCCCTTGCTTGGGGTTCCCTGTCTAGGCGGGAGCTGAGACTCGCCCAAAGAGTGGAGAATCCCCCCCATGAGACAGTGTGTCCCCAAGTGCACACAGCTCTGTGGCATAGGCAGTTCTAACAGAGCTGCCCAGCAGAACTTCCTGTGATGATGGACAGCTCCACAGTTGTGGTGACCATAGTGGGAGCCACTAGCCTCATGTGCCTCCTGAGCACTTGAGAAGTGACTAGTTCACTGGGAACTGCATTTTAAACTTCATTTAGTTTTAATGAATTAAAATGTAAATTTAAATGGCCACAGGTCAGGGGACTAGGGAGAAGGAGCAAGTGCAAGGTATGGTGCAGGGCAGGCCTGAAGGCCAACAGGACAGGTCTCAGGCTGTACCAGAGCTCCATGTGGCCTGCCCGTCCACATCCAGCACAGCAACTCTTCCTGGAAACTTCTTCCAAACCCTTCTTTCTTCCCTATCATTCCACGGCCACCCCCAGGCCGGCGCCTCTGCCACACACCCAGTTGGCTGACACAGACTCTCTCTTCTTAAAATGCTGCTTTGACCCTGCCCCTCCCCTGCAGGCCAGTACCTGGTAGGGATCCCTGGGGAGAAGGGCCATAGCTCTTCCAGTGGGGTGGTCTCCAGGGTCCTGGGGGAGAGCTGGGGCTGTGCCCATCATTACTGTGTTCAAACAAATCTGTTCCTGTTCTCAAAGATTTGTCCCAACTCTCCCAACTGCCCTGGCCTTCTGCCAGCTCCACCACCTCTCCACCACCTTCAGGACCCATCTACTGAAGTGCAACACCTATCCTAGAAGAGCCTTCAGGACCCCTCCCAGTGCTATGGCTGCTGTCCACCCTGAGTTATTGGTGCTGGACTGTCACCTGCTGGTGTGGGCATTTATGCAGGAGCTGGTGGCCATTCCAGGATGGCTCTTGGGGCTGTCTTCAGCAGTGGCATGACTGCAGGCAGTGATCCCTCCCAGTTCCCACTCAGGGTCTCTCCAGATGAGAGCCTTGGGCAAGGCACGAGGGCTTATGAAGGCCACAGCGCCATCTGGCTGAGACCCAGGTTCTGCCCACGACCCTTGCCCTTGGAGATACTAACCACAAGGCTGGAGTCCACAGGCCAGCAAGATCACAGAGGCCCACATCAGAGGGCTGGGCTCGGGCAGGGGCTGTGAGTGATGGACTCTCTTTGCGCAGCGGCTGAGAAGGGGAGAGAGGGCAGTGCCCTTGGGGAAGTGGCCCATGTACAGGCAAGGGAGTGAGAGGCCTGCTGAGGCCAGGGGGCTTGAGTAGAGGGTGTGGGGGAGAGAGCGAGGCTGGGAAGGAGAAGGGAGCAGGCTACAGTGAGAGGGCCTGCCGTGCCTGAGAAGAGCTTGTACCCCATCCTCTGGGCAGCAGGGAGCCAAGGACGGTGCCTAAACAAAGGAATTATAAGACAAACTTCATTTGGCAAGGCTCATTTAATTTGATGAGTATGACCAATCTCCGCATTTGGCAAGTGGAGAAATTTAAGGGTGAAATGAATAGGAGATACAAAAGTCCTTGGAAATCTCAAACACCCGTACTGCTGAGGGCATTAGAGATATGTGGGGAAGCTGTCTTTCTGGTTTCTAACGGGCTCAGAGCTGGATTAAATTAAAGCAGGGCGAACACTAGTTGGACATACAGAGAGACTTCCCAACCATGATGGGAATTCAAACATAACAACAGTGGCCAGAGCCACTCACATTTGCCTTGTCCCTGATTCCCTCTAAGAGGGCAGGTTCACCATTCTGCATGAGGTGGCTGCTCTGACTGCCGAGGCCCTTTCTAGTTCAGGAGGCCATTGTAGGCCTGGTGATCCCTCTGGGGCCACTCAGAGCCCTGGGCTGGGGGGACGCTGACTCTTCTTTCTCCATGCCTGGTCTAGGGTGCAGACGAGTTTATGGGCCGCTGCATCTGTCAACCGAGTCTGGAACGGATGCCCCGGCTGGCCTGGTTCCCACTGACGAGGGGCAGCCAGCCGGCGGGTGAGCTGCTGGCCTCTTTTGAGCTCATCCAGAGAGAGAAGGTGAGGCTGTCCATGTCCAGATCCAGAGGCCCCAGAGGCGGGGTGGGGTGGAGGACACAGGCAGGGAGAGGCCCTGGTGGGAGGAGGGGCTGCCGATACACCCTTCTTCCCCCACCAGGGGTCAGCACACAGTGGGAGCCCGGACCCCCATATGCAGACTGGATAGAAGTAGGGCTGCACTGGAGGAAGTGTCTGGAGGGACCCAGCATGCTGTCAACCTAGCTCCTCCTGCACCTCCCACCCCCCTAAGGAATAGTGTCTGCAAAGCCCTGGACTGTCTGGTCATTGACATGTTCCATGAGTGTCATTTCCGGCCAGGGTAGAAATGAGGGTGATGATGCTTGGCTGACAAGCACATGACCTAAGCTCTCTCTCTACCCTAGCCGGCCATCCACCATATTCCTGGTTTTGAGGTAAGTCTTGCCCTCCTCACCTTTTCTTCTTCTAATTGATTGCCAGCCTCCCTGTGTTTGCAGCCCCCTCGGGGCTAGGAAGGGCAGTCAGGCATATCCCACCACCATCCTGCCCTGAGCCCCCAGGAAAGCTCCTTCAGGCAGGGGAGGGCCTGGGTGGAGCTGCAGGGGTAGGGTGGGAGGGGCTGGGGTCCTCATTTTACTCAGAAACTCCCTTCCCAGCTCAGATCTTGCCTGCCCTTCTTCCCTGAGAAGTCTGAGAATCACAGACTCCCAGATGGAAGGGACCTCATGGTCGTCTAGCCCAGTGGCCCTCAGCCAGGCTCACATTAGAACCCCCTGGGCAGCTTTAAAAATCACCAGTGCCCAGGCCCTACCCCAGACCAAATGAAACACACTCTCTGGGGGTGCAGCCCAGGCCTGGGTGTCTCACGACACTGCCCAGAGATGTTGATGTGCACGGGGGCTGGGAACCATTGACTCAGCCCCATGGCCCTGAGAGGGTGGTCCCACCAGCAGCGTCAGCACCACCTGGGATGTTGTTGGAAATGCTGGTTCTTGGCTCCCACTTCAAACCCACTGAAGCAGACTCTGAGGGTGCAGCCCAGCAGCCTGTGTATCAGCTAGCCTGCCAGTGCTTCTGATGCTGCTCGAGTTTCAGAAGCTCTGCTTCAGACTGCATTTCCCACTACTTGTTCCCACCATGACCCTGTTTTCTTTCTCCGCCGGGGGTGGGGCTTCATTCGCTTGTCGCTGCTCTCCTTCCTTCTCCTCGGGGTCTTGGTAGAAAACATAGACCTTCAGCTGGTACCTGGGCTAATTTGACTCATTACCCTCCTCCAGACCAGGCTCAGCTGCAGCTCTGAGAACTGGTCCGTTGGGGCTCTGTGTGGATGCCTCATTCGCCCCTCACAAAGCAGCCCACACATGTTTACACAGTTTTTACCGTACGAGCCCTCCTGTGCCACCCCCCATCCCACTCCACTGTCTGCCTCTCCCCTCCTCCTGGTTTCTGTCCCTGTCCTGTGCAACCTCCAGCTCTCAGTTCTGGCTTGTGCGTTAGCCTTTCCCACCAGTCTCCCTGCATCCATATGCATCACACCTACTTTCTCAGGGACCACGTGGAGGGCGCGGCTAGGGAGCACACCATCCTTACCCTTGATGAGGTTTCTGTTGGCTCCTCTTAGTGGTGGCACTTGGTGTGCTGATCTCTGGACTGGCCTAGTGTTCCTTGTCACTAATGGTGAACTTTCACCACTCACCCCCACTGTTTCCTTCTCCTGGATGTGGAACCATCACACTCATGATTGTGTTCCAGGTGCAGGATACATCAAGGATCCTCGATGAGGTGAGCTGGACCCTTGAGGCTATGGCCCAGGGCGGGGGGAGGGTGGCCAGAGACAGAGGGAGGTGAAGGCCAGCCTCCAAACGTAAGCCCAGTAGGCACCTGCCACGTGGAGAACTACCTGGAACTTATTCCCCATCCTGTGTGTGGATCCTGGGCTGCCTGGGGTGTGCCTTGGGGTGATTCTAGCTTCAGAAGGCTTGCTGCCCTGTTAGGAGGCCAGACCCACCCAGACTGCATGGACAACAATATTGAGTCTTATTTGGTTGAGTACCAGGTAGCACGTTTACAAGAATAAAATGTTTGGAGGGGGCCAGGGTAGTCAAGGAAGGCTTCCTGGTGGAGGCAGCATTAGCCAGATATTGTTGCACCACTTAGGAGGGAGGTGGGAAACATGCTTTTGGCTTAAGGGGCCAGGGACCAGTTTGGGGCTTGGCTGGTTTAGGGGATGGGGTGGGTTGGGACTTCCTAGGGACTGGAAGAAGTTTGGAGTTTTTGTCTAGATGAAGCAAAGCCATGTCCTTTGCCTTGGGGAGTGAGGAGCATGTTCCCTTATGGCCTCCTGTGCTTCTGTGAGCAGATCGATATGAGTAAACCAGGGGCAAAGGCCTGGGTAGAGAAACAGGAAGGCGAGCCCTGGTCAGATGGAACTGGGGAAAGGGCAGCCACTTCCTGCCATCAGGGAATCCCCAGGCTGGGAGCGGACACCACTTGACATTTTCAGTGCAATTTGGAACTTGAAGTGCAGGGTCAGGATGTGGGATCCACAGGCCCCACACCCCTTACCTCACTTCCTTTTGCTCCCAGACCGAGGTGGGGTCCGCCAAGTGAGCCGGCCTTAATTGCGCCTGACAGGCAGCCTCCTGCTTCTGGCTGCAGTTGCGAAAGACTGCCGATTTGGAAAGGGAGGCAGAGCCCTGTCCAGGGAAGCAGCACGGAGCCCTCTCTCTTGATTGAGAGCACTCTGTGGCCAAATCCCACAGCCTGCTCTGAAGAAGACCCAGCCCAGGGATGAGTTATTAAAAAAAAGTTAAAATTCTTAATAACTGGATTTGTAATATGTAACAGTGAATACTCAGATTCTGAGAGCAAGGATCTGGCTGTGGTCTCTTCGTCAAAAAGCAAATCAAAACTGCAGCTTTTGGGCCAGACCTGAAGAGAGCCAAGTGTCCTGCTACAGGGCCAGCCAGGCCACAAGCTGAGGCCAGGTGTGGGTCAGCAGGGCCAGGGGACAACAAGTCCTGGGGGTCTACTGGGCTCAGGGCTGAGCTGAGCCAGCAGTTTCAAGGGTCCGAGGCCCATTACAGTGAATGGAGTATCAGCTGGTCCAGAGAACAACCCTGGAAGATGACCTTGTGACCCCCTTATCCCCAGGGAGCCTCGCTTGTCCCTGGTGCCCATAGCTCAGACCACTTCCCCCTCACTTGAAGGCTAAGACTTGTGCCAAGATCCTAGGTCCTATTTGGTTTTAGGAATCCCCGGGGGCTGGGTGGAGGCAGGTTAGTCCTGCTGCTGCCACTGGTCTTGCAGGAAGCCTGATGCCTCAGCAGGATTTTTCTGTTTTCTTTGCGGTGGCCAAGCTCCTGCCTTGGATCCCCATTCAGCCCCTTCCAGGCTCCCGGCCTGATCCTGGTGGAGAGCACTCCAGCCTTCCTGGAGGGCCATGAGAAGACATGCTGGGAGCTCAGATCCTGGGCCACTGGCTGCTGGCGCCCTTGAAAGTCTGGGAGCAAAGAGGGGAAGGATGGGTGTATCAAGCTGTCTGGCTGCAGGGGGTATGGGCTGGGGACCGAGGAACTGGGGAGAGACCAGCTAGGAGGCTTTTGAGACTGTTGGGATAATGGGGGCCTGGGCTGACTGGAGAGGGGCCAGGAGGAACAGATGGGACAGGTGACTGTGAAGTATGGTTTAAGGTCGGTGTCTCCTGTGGGAAGTGGTTTTTTGGCTGGCACAGCCAGGCGCAGAGATTCCCATGTGCCCTGTGTCAGCCAAAGTGCCTGTGAATGAGATGAAATGCTTCCTGCCCATGCTGATGGCTCCCTGAACAGGACAGTGGGGATGGCTTCCTCGAGAAGATCACACTGAGCTGACTGTTGACAACAGGCATTGGCAGAAAGGGAGAGAGAGAGGGCCTTGGCTGCAGTGCCTTGGGCTGGGGTCTGGTCACAGCCTGGGGCCAGTTCCGCAGGCAACAAGCTTTTCCCTCACCCAGCTCTATGCCATCTGGAAAGTCCCTCTTTGGAGCACTTGGTGGGGAAGTGGGACTGTTGCAT